AGAAGCTCCTCCCGCGTAGCAGGACGGCCATCGTTATGGAGTTCCTTGACCTTCTCCAAGAGAGCATCGTACGCTTCAAGCGCTGCGGCTTTAGAGGCAGATGCCCTCTCCATCAACTTGTCGTCAAGAGCGGCGCGCACATCACCTGTCCGAAAAATAACGTCCAGGCGGTCAGGGCGACGTTCATAGACGGGAGCCATACTGCATAGCGAACCAGAGTGGCCAAAGGTGACACGCTCATGGCCCAGGCAGGAAGGAGGACAGCAACAGGGCACCACAGAAACAAAGCAGAAACGGCCACTTAAGCCAAAATGGCCCCCAGGTTGCGTTGAACGGTCTTGCACGCAAAGTGAACGAAACCATGTGCTAGGCGTGCGTCTGACATCAGACCCTCTCGCTCGCAAATGGAAAAATCATGTGTATTTGTATGTGTATGTGTGTACCTGTGTATACGTATATATGTGCATATCTATAGATGTGTGCATACGTATGTGCTAATACTGTACATGCATGCTAATGGAATACAATACAACAAAATGAGTTTGTCAATAAAGAGCAGTAGTACAGAATACAAAAATACAGCAAACTAGAATTAGCTAGAAGAGAACAGACTATTGTAGAATAGGTTAGAAAAACAGTAGAATCTTGAGATGAATAGAGTAGAAAGTAGGAAAAGTAGCATAGAACAGACTGTAATGGTAGGGCACGGGATATGATGCGATCATATTTTCAAGATGCCAAAACACAACCATCGAATATAACACCAGAATCATAGGACAGAACACAATGTGATATGATGAAAACAGAAACAACACAGAACAGACTATAGTTAACAGAGGAGAATAGAACAGAATAGAATCAAGGGTTGACCGCATCTTTGCATGTGGTCGCCTGTCATGTCATGAATGTGAGAGAGAGAGAGAGAGAGACAGACACTGTGTGTGCGTGTGTCCAGGTGTGCTGACAGACTTAGATTTTTTACTCCATCCGCTTGGAATCAAACTAAACGGGGTTCCTTCCCTCAAGTCCGGCCGCATAACCAGAGAACTGTCAAAGCTCGGAAAGGCTCTTTCACCTGCGACACTCTGTGGCCCGGGGGGGTTCCGCCAGTCGAGGAGACTTGTGGCCCTTAGCCGGCCCATGCGCTGCCGATGCTCTCGCCGCCCCACCTCAGAGTTCCAGGACAAGGCTCACCGCGGAGCGCAGCGCTCAACTCAAAATTGCAAATCGAGAGCCTCCCGTCAGTTTCCCCCAATGGTCCAAAGATCGCCACCGGGCTGTTTGGTGCGATCTGCACTCAAGGATTAGAAGTCAACTTCGGACAGAACATGAATGTCGAAGAGCGCAGACTTTCAAGAGACTCGGAGCTTCTCAAGCCGACAACCCTCCCTGAGCTTCAGGCATGCTTCCACATTCGAGCACTCTGTGCAGAGAAAGATATTAAAAATCGCACGACGAGGGAAAAAAGAACTCCACCAGTCTCCAATGCCCCGACTTGTATCTATCGCGGGCTGAGAATGCCGGCGGAATCTGTGACTTCGGCTGGTTGCGGTGTGGGCCCATCGAGACCCAGGTACCCCAGGTGGAACGTGCAACTTGTGCAAGCCTTGGGGCCTTGCGCTCGCACTGCGCCCTGGCGACTCGAGACACGAAAATCACAGATCTCATATGACGCCAAGTGCTTTGGTGTGACTCCCGGTATTGTTTCTCTTGCGTTTTCCCGGACTTCACAACTTCTTGCCACTCATGCGCTTTCCTAGCTTGCATCTCGTAGCCGAGCCGAAACGAACATGCTCAGAGCCTGTGGGGTTCAGACAAGCCCAAGCTAGGTTCCCGCGGCATCAAACTGGCCAGTGCAGCGCCATGAGGTGCAGGCAAAGCCCTGAAGATACAAGTGGAGAGATCGGAGAACAGTCGGAGAACAGCCCAATGCATCTGAAGGATCTGGACTCACATTGTCGGGCTCCACGATCCAAGAATCTGACTGAAGTGAGTATGCCTGTCGCTTGCACTGAGCTCAGGGCCCGTAACCTCCAGGTGCATAGCCCCAGCCTTTGCCTCCCCAGCCTGGCGCATCGCCCCGCACGCCCCGCACGCAGCATGCGAGCTCTTGGAGGCGCTGTGCTTTGTGCACAGCCGAAGCCGAAGCCTGGAGGTCCGTGAGGTCCGTGAGGTCCGGGCCCGGGCCCCATCCTGGCCGCTTCTTCGAACATCTTCGAACTCTTCCCCCCCGACGTGTTGAGACGGAACTCGGAAGCTGCAAATTGTCGCAGATGGCTTGTCCTCGGAGGAGGTCCGTAGCTCGGCGGAGGTGGCGGCCCGTTATACCTTCACATGGATCGCACATACATCCTGACTTACTCTGTGCGAAAGGTCGCATGACAATCACCGGCAGCTTCAACCTTCGACTCACCAACCACTGTTGCTTGGCGACAAAGCCTCGCCATGCTTGCTGTCCTGTTGAGCCTTCCTTTGGGCCTTGCGGAGGGGTGGACAGCGCATTACAGCGCAAACGGTCTCAATTCCTTTGTCGGGGCAACTCGTGATCAATTCGTGGGCCGTGCCTGCTGCGAGGGCGGCTGCTCCAATCGCCAGGAGGGCCTTGGCAAAGAACTCTTTTAGGCTTTGAAAAGCCTCGGCCTACACTGAGCCCTAATAGCAACAACAGGCCCCACATAAACTCCAAGCCTGTATAGAGCCCAGCATCTCAAAAGATTTCAAGTTTTGCTTGTTTTAACTGCGGATCAAGCACGTGCATCAGTTGGTATCCTGAGGTTGGACATCTTTGCTTTTGCGTCGCTTTGCAGACGCATTCTTATTTATCTGACCTACTTCTCTTTCAGGCTGACGTGCCAGTAATGCTAAGCCGGTGCATCTCCGTGTCAACAGACCATGTCACCTCTGCATTCCGACGACTGGGCTACATGCTCACACAAAGAATCACCGAATGTTGAAGGCACCAAAAACGATTTTAAAGGATTTCAAGTCTAAGTTAAAAGCTTAAAAGATCTAAAGAGAGCTTGACAGCTTCTCCACGAGTTCCGGGCCGTCTTGGACCATGGCCCAAGAAGGAAGCGGAGCATCCTTTCCGGAGGAGAAGCTCTGGACTCTGGACCCGACGCTTTCAATGGCTGTAAAAAGATATATGGCTCTTTCTTACTTGCTTGCTCACGCGGACACACACAGCCGCGTTCCGGTCCGCATGAGAGCACAGATCCTTGCTGACCTCGGCCTTTGGCGTGAAACTTGTGAGGGGCCCTCTCTCTCTGGCACGGTAGGTCCCTAGGTCCTATGTGGAGGTAAGGTCTTGAGGCAGAGTTGGAGGATGCAAACTCTGGCATCAACACAGTGCAAATACCCTCGCACATAGTTGCAAACACCGTGATGATGAGAACCAATTGGTAGCGCACCTCCCAAATATGCAGAGATTGTGTCCATCCATGTATGCTGGTAGGAGCACTGCATTGTGTCGATTCGGTACTCGTTTAGTGCCTCACGCATTGTACCTGTGCCGCTGGCCTCGCGCACCGCTCTCGGAGGTTCCGCTAGCCGCGGGGGACTGCCTTAAGTGCAGATGTCAGCCACCGTGACCATTGCACACTGCGCTAACTGCTACCGTGCGGCGCTGATGGCTCGAGCTCCCTCGGTCCACGGGGCCGTTTCGCAAAGGGCAGCTGATCGCGGCTTCAGAACGAAACCGCTCAAAGCTTGGTGCAGACCCCATGAAAAAATCTCTAAGCTTACAGGGCTTACGCAAGTCCAATCTCAAAAACAGTGCCAGTGAAATGGCCGAGCCAAGGCACCGCCTCCGCCTGGAGGCCGCGCCCAGGCCGGCAGCTCTGGCCTCGTCTCGGCCCCGTCTTAAGTGCCTTTAAGTTTCAGGCTTTATTTTCCCCGCTTTTTAAGACGCTAAGACGTCACATGTGACAGCAGAAGCCTAACTCCAGCCCCTTCACACCCAGAACACGAGCGATCTAACACTTCAGTGACCAAGCGGCTGCGGCTCGGGTGTTCGCGGCGGTGGAGCTGCCTCAGGATTTGCTCCAAAACACCCGAAACCTTGGAGCTGGAGCGGGACACAAGGATGCCTGCGCGACTCCCAGTCCTGACCTGACTCTTCTGTAACCTTCTTGAGCCTTCGGTCGCGTTGCGGCTTTCGCGGTATCCGGGGCTGGAGGGGGTACGGCACTATATAAGCCGCTCCAATTCAAGTCTGGAATGTTCAACAAAGTCTCAAGTTCAACCACATGCTTCAAGAAGGTCAGGGAGGGCGATCTCTTTTCGCAGCTTGAGGCCTCGCTGTGACGAAGCGCATGAGTCCAAGAGGCTGCATCACCTCTCATGAATTGAGCCGACTAGTCGTGGGTCTTTACGGGGGAGCATGACGATCGGGCGTTTCAACGTTGCCATGCAGCCAGATCTGATCCAAACCTAGGCCCAGCCTGGCGGGGAAGCTCGGGGACCTAGGGAGCTGAACCTGCACGCGAGTGCCGATGCAAAGCAATATGTGGGACATGCATTGCCTACGCATGCCCGGAAGAAGGCTACTCTGTGCTCGAGCGGGCTTGCGATCTTGACCAAAAATATGGGTGCGCGGGAGCTGCACAGAGAGCATTTCAGATCTGCTTGCCTTTGCATCAACTCGTCGTGTGCCGGGGGTGGTGGCGAGGCACTCGACGAAGAGGAAGCCCTGAAGAAACGGCCCCGGTTATCGACCTCACCCAAGTTGCCAAGTGCAACAATTCTGAGTGCCGCGCGAGCTCGGGCTATTGGGCTCTTCCGGTGGGAAGCCTCAGGGGCGCATGTCAAGTGTCAAAGCGTCGACAATAGCATCGAAAGAAGCCGTTTCAACCCAACCGCGCACCGGAAGTTTCCGATCGCACCTCTTGCAAGCTCCTCCTGCCTGGAGGATGCACGACATCAGAGACCGGCGGAAGGGCCTCCAGCATGGGCATGTGACTTCGCAAAAGTGACTTTTCTTCGGAGATGTTGACCGCCTTCTTCGTCGGCTCGAGGTTCGAGCCTACTGTTGGTGCCGACGCTCCGCGCACGTCCCCGCCCAACGACGTAAACTGCCCCAGGTGGTCACAGAGCTTCCTACACTTCCCTGCAACATCAATACCAGTACATGTTGCAAAACAGCCAAGAATCACGAATCAGCACAGACAAAACTCGGATCAAAGGAGAATTAACCCAAACCCTCAGTGCGCGTCGCAGCTGCCAAAGCTTGGAAGCCTATATTCCTGAATTTCCCTGACGGTTTCCTGGATTTCGGAACATCTAGTGGAGTTGTGTGTCTGCAGTCGCTCTCTCAACACATCGGATTCATCGGATGGTCCGGAATCGCCAAATACTGAGCTCTGCTGTCTCCGCGACAAACCCATATCTTCGGGCTGTTCAGGCTCTAGCTCTCCTCTCCAGGTCTGAGTGCTCGTTTCCAAAACGAGCAACACAAGTCCTGTTTAGTAGAAGCAGGGTGCCGGGCCGGGCACTCCGTACTAGCCGGACAGGTGCCGACCAAAGTCCAAAAGGCAAACCCAATTTGCTCATCAAGCCTAGACAACCTGCTGCGCTAAGAGCCCACAGGGTCGTGGAAACACTGCCCGCACTTCGAGAGGCCCCGGCTGAAGGCTGTGAAAGACCATGGGAAGCTGGCCAGGGCTTACAATGGTCTTGACACTGAGAGCTCGACACCAATTTCTGCTGGGGTCTTGGGTGCAGAGTTCGGGGTCCAGAAGCTTGTGAGGAAAGTCCGGCAGTTGGGATTCGGAAGGAGGCTTCTGCCCGCAGGTTACTCCTTGATTGCCAAAGCTGCCTTCTGCGTTGAGGATTCCAAACTTAGCTGGGCCGCTGCTGGCGAGGCCCATTTAATATGCCATGATATGCCACGGATTTCCATCATCCTTAAATTCTTTACGGAGGCCGAAAGCCCATGTAAGCCTATGAAGCCGCCCACGCAAATATCAAGAGCAAAGACTTCGCACGTCAAGCCTTCTGCTGGCGCGGGAACTGCCTCTGCCTGCTGTGATGGGCGGGGGCTGGTGCAGATCAAAAGCACAGATAATTTTGGGTCTTCGTTTCAGCACAGACCGCAGCTTGACCTGAACCTGATTATCTCGGAGTGCTGAGCAAGACCTGCCTGAGGTTTCTCGGAGTCCGAGGACGCATCGGAAGACTCCGAGTTCATGGATACCCTGGGATAATGCGAATCACGGAGAGGCTCCAGTTAAAGGTCGCTGACGCTTCACGACGTTTGCAGAAGCGCTCTTCTTCTTTGGGCTCCAAAGGACGTACAGAAGGCAATGGTGCTGAAACCTCCCAAAAAAGCCAGAAGGGCCCGGGCTCATCCTCGACAAAGGGCCACGCCTCGCCAGTGGCAACACGACCTTTCTTGAGCCAAGGCTGGGGGTTGGGTTTCATGCCACAAAAAAATTCCTGAAGCCCTGGAACCTAACAAAAACCTTCCTGCGGCTCTCAAATGGCCCTTACGAGGCCGCGGCTGGGCGCAGCTTTCGGCGCTGGGCCCGGCGGGGGTGGCGCAGAGGCCTGGCAGGTGTTAGAATATGCTTTAGGACATTTCAAGACCGCGGCATGCTCTGCAGCCAGCCAACTCACTCTTGGCCCTGCGAAGTACAAGCACGTGCGCTGATGCTGTGCGGCTTGAGGTGGGACAGCATTTACTTTGTTCTGCTCTCTTTTCCTCAAGACTTCAGGCTTGCTTCGGCTGATGGTATCAACTCTTTCGCTCCGCGATTGCTCGCAGGCAGTGGGCCAGGAGCTGATTGCGGCGCAGCCTGGAGTTCAGATCCAAGAGCGCAGCTGTCCTTCGTAAACGAATCTTTTCTTGGCCTGGACTGGGCGCAATTGCCTCATACATCCTTCGAAGAAAGCAACTGCTCAGATGTCGGGTCATGCCGCGATAAGGTGTTGCTTTCTTCGGTTGCCTCTAGGTCGGAGAAGGTTGGAAGCACCTCAGCTTTGTGCCAACGGCCGGCACCTTCAGAAGCCTTTCCGTGCTTCGTGAAGCCCGGTCGGGCAAACGAACCTGAAGCATTCACAGCAGATTTGATTCCATCGGCCTTTCAACTGTTGGCAGCTTGGATCGATAGCGTGCTGGTCATCAGCCGTGACTTACATCCACAGCAGGGAGTCACGAAGCATAGACGGCCTTTCGAAAATGTTCAAGACTGAGCGGCAGTCCGAGCATGCTTGGTTTTTTCGTCAACGTATGCACGGGAAATTGCGCAAATTGATTTCCTGAATATGCAAAGTCACAAGAAGCAGCCCAACTTGGTCAAGCTCGGGACCGCGATCTCCGCCAACAATAATTTCGGCACCCATTGAGAACATCCACATTGGCATATCTGTTGGTATTTGGGCAGGAACCCAACCATCACATCCACGCTTTCGTTGGGCCAGACTTGGATTGGAAGTCATCTGAAGTCATTGCCACAGCTGTCCAAAAATTGCTCCAAAGATGACGTGTCCAATTCAGCTGTCCAGCTCCCCAAGCTGATGCATCACGGATCTGTTGTGTTTCTGGTAGCCACTGGCTAAGTGACGCACGCTCTCACAATCTTGACCGTCAGGAGCACAGTGACCAACACCTGCAAGAGAAAGAAACGCAAACAATGAAAACGCAAACCCAACAGGAAGGCAGAAAGAGAGGAAAAAAGACACAGAGAGACATGAAGAGAGCACAAACAACAACTAACTACGCTCAACAAATTAAATAAACACAGTGCAGAACTCTATCATAATCATAGTAACCTTCGCCCAGCTGCCAATGAATGCGCCAACACCTCCGCCGAAGGCAGCTGAGAGCGCCGACCAAACTCCGATTGCCGATGCCTGGTATTTTCTGGACAGCTGTTCGACTCCACAACTTATGGGTCTAGTTCCTTGAATCCTCGGAGCATACATTGCTTGCGGTGTAAAATAACAAGCACACGACATGAAGGTGAACAATCGACGAAGTTGCAAGACATCAACGAGTTCATGCACGCCGTCATTCAGTGCTTTCACATCAACAAACCAACCAGATCCAGCCCCACGATTGCCACAGTCGTACAGCCAGAGCCAGTGCACATGGCATTGCAAGCTGATGGAATCGATCTTTCAGGCGGCAACTAAAATGGCATTGAGCCTGTTGGCGCGGCAACTGCACATGGATTGAACCAACAGACCTGCTAAAGCCTTGAGTAGGCAGGGTCTGGGCTTTAGCACTTTCCCCCCTTCCCTGCACCCCCAAAAAATCATCAGTGCCGTAGCTCAAACAGGCGACGGCGCCGAGGGTCTCCTTACACAATTTGCTTCATGACCTGGGGTTAAGAGATGTCTCAGAGATGTATCTAACTCTACTGTACGTATAGTATGTAACTGCATGCTGATGTAATATGATTACAGTATAACTATGCTCTTGTTGGTTAAAAACGAGGACCGACCTCACGACCACGCCCGCGCGAACTCAAGACCACACCCGCGCGACCTCAAGACCACACCCGCACGAACTCAAGACCACACCGAAGCGAACTCAAGGACACACCGAAGCGACCTCAAGGACACACCCGCGCGACCTCAAGGACACATCGGCGTGACCATGAGTTTCGTCACAAAAACAGTGATGAACCTATACGTAAACAAACGAACAACAAAAACACATTAAAGTCAAAATCAAATTCAAGTGACTGTATGATTGAGGTATAGGATGACCACCAACCATACCATTATAGTATTAATAATGGTATGTTTGTTTAACCCATAAGTCAACATTGGGCTTGTTCATGCGTGTTCTAACAATTCTAATACAAATTATGTGTAATAATCGCAAATATAACAGGACAAAGTCCAATGTAACATAACCCAATATGACATATACTAATATAACATGAAATGATATAACAAAACAACACAACACACAACACCATACCACGTCGCAACGTAACATGGCACAACAAATCAAAGCACACTGCAACACATAACATAATTTCACAGAACAACACAACACCGCACGGCGCACAGCATATCAACATAGCATAACAACATGACATAATACAACATACAGTACCATAACATAACATAATGTCGCATAGTATATGATGGAACATGGTGAGGTATAATACAACCTACATGATTTGATGTAACGTATTCTGACATAGCATAGTCTAACAAAGCGAAACATAGCACAACCTATCATAACATGTCCGAAAACAACGGTACCCAATAAAGTACATGTATACGAAAGTCGCATACAAAAAATAATGATACAGTAACCTGCAAACATAACCTGACATGTCACCGTCCAATAAAGTCCGACACTATATAATACGATATACTGCAACAGAATGCAATAAACGTAATCGTAATGTTCAGTAATATATACTGTTTAACAGCAAAAAAACAAGTTTTATGATCTATGGCAATATAACCTCCTGGACCATGATACAGTATAATGTGCTCATGCCATACAACCTGACATGTGTAGCATATTTTCCGATGTCATACACCTTTACTTTTGTAGTATATTTTCCGATGTAGTGCTCTAAGGCGTTACATATAAAAAGTAGTGCGAACACCTTAAGAATCTCCGCGATTGCGGAATGGGCGTCACATATGCAAAACTTGTTAGTGTGCAGCATGTTGACGAAGAGGCATTGGTCTTTCGGGGGATCCTTTTCTGTCAATGACACTCACGACTTTCGCTTTCACGCAACAACAGTACCTTTGCAACAACTGACAACATTAGGAAGTACCTGTAGAAAGCACAATTTTTCTGGTGTTGTTTTGGGAGGCGTGTTCATTGAAACCCTGTTGACATGCTATACTATCTACATATATATAATACCAACATATGTATATATATATACATATACATATATACCAATATGTATATATATATACACACACATAGATATATACACACTAGTGTCTATATATATATACACACACATACATACGCCAATATATATATATATGTATATATATATCCCAATATACATATATACACGAATATACCTACTCAGGTGCGTTGAATGACAAATTGATCTGGTACATGCATGCCTTCGTTTGGTGATATCAATGTGAAGAAGGAACTGGGCAAGTTGAGGAAGCAAAACGAGATCTGACGTGTGCACCCAAGTAGACGGACAATACGACATAAGATCAAACCTGCCGTAATTTACAGTAGATTCGGTCTCTACAAGCTTGCATGGAAGCCTCAAAACACCAGGGCTTGCTTCAGCACGTGACCTTGTTTTGATTCCTGCTGGCCTGGATGTTCTGTTCGCGATATGCGTTTGCTGCGATTTTCGCAGCACCAAACCACTCTATATCTATTTCACATTGACATGTGCTTTGCCACGGCTCTGCAAAACCTAGGTGCTGACCCCAAAATCAGAATCCAGAAAATCCATGAAAGCTGGGTGCACCCCTCCAAAGCGGCTTTGATGTCGCAAAATATTGAAACCCTATGGAACCTGCAAAACCTGGCTTTTTCGAGAGCACCCCGTGCTGTTTCAGGAACCATTTTTGGCTCACTGCCCGGTGGCCTTAAAGGCAAAATTAGAAGCCAAAAACAGGTAGATAATGCATTTGCCGTGGCTCGGCAAAACCTAGGTTTTCACCCGTGTCGTTGTGCGCTCTTTTCGTGCCCGCGCCGCCCTGCGGCTGTGCGCCGAACTGGAGACGTAATTAATTGCCTTATACCTCCTGTTCTCCTCGCTTGGCCTCCTGGTGTGGTCACCCGGGGCGCCGCGGTGGTGTCAAGGGGGCAGATCGACAGTCCCTGGTGTGGGCCTGAAGTGGTGTGCCCGGGTTGACAAAGGAGGGCCTGGGGCAGGATGCTTGCACGCAGTATGGGCGGTGGACGCTGCTGACAAACTGTCCACTTTGAGCATCTTTCGGCATGCTTGGGCGCCTGTCACGCTGTGACGCAGCCCGTGTTCCTTTTGTGTTCGTTTTGGTGATGGAGCTGCGCGCGCGGCTGGCTGCACTCGTACGCACAACTACTTCTTTCTGCTGCTTCCACAGGTTTATATGGATCAGTGGTTGTTTTTGGCTTGCCCTTTAAAGTTAGCTCTCTCGCTTAGGCTTCGGCGAGCCAATCAGTTCTTTGCACCACTACAACAACTCCAACATGTGGACCGGACGCCCTTAAAACTAAATCGCGAAAATCCATCATATCTGCATGAGCCCCTGAAACATGGCTTCGATCCCGAGATTTCTGAAAACCCTATGAAACCCGCAAAACCTGATCTTGGATTTTCTGCCCAAACCTAGGCCCTTCCAAGTTTTTCGAACGCGCCCCGTGCGGCTTCGGCGTTGGTTACTGTCCCACTGCCAAGTGGCCTCAAGGGCAAAATCCGAGGTACTTGAACCAAAAAAATACCTCTGCCGTGGCTCAACAAAACCTAGCTTTTGACCCTCAAAGCCACTTCCCGAAAATCCATTCGAGCTGCTTGAACCCCTCAAACATGGTCTTGATGGAACCTGCAGAACGTGATTTTAGTTATTCTGCTCAAACCCAGACCCCTACAGGCTTTTTCGAAAGCGCTTGTGCTGTTTCGGGAACGGTTTTGGCCTGAAAACCACGCTCTGATGTCAAACATCCAGAAAGTCCCAGGAACCTGCGAAACGGAGTTTAGGGTTCCTGCCGTTTTACCGGGACGTTGCAGATTTTTCTTCCCCGCGATGTGCCACATCGAAGGCAGTAGATGGCCAGTTAGAAGACCCTTCTTGCAACCTTAACCAGAAAATCCGATGCCGACAACGTTCTAAACCGACTTTCGCACACGGATATGCCTTTGAGAACGCATGTTTCTTCAATGGAGGCTAGTTTTATTATGGTTTGTTTTTCAAGGTGATGTCTTCGAAAATACAGGCATGCTGACCAGTTCTTTCTGTAGCTGACAGAGCTTATTGATGTCCAGGCTTGCAGCTGTCGGCGCAGCTGCACAAAAAACATGCTAGTTTCGTTCTGCGAACACTCCTGACAGGTAGGCATCGCACGAGTGACAAAATGCTGCTGAACGGCCAGAAAATGGCGACGGTTTTGTTCCTCAGGATGCGCTTCAAACACCAAATTTAAGCGCTGCAAAGAAAAAGTCTGGTTCGCATACAGGCCAGCATGCAACAGAAAGGTCAGGTCTGGCTAAATGCGGCCCTTCCAGCTCAATGGGTGGGAACATAAAAAAGGCACAAAAACAGAAACCGATAGCATGGATGGAGAAACCTCGGGCATAAGAGGAGAACTCATGAGCATGAGAAAACAGCCGTGTCGGCGACGGGATGGAGGCACAGGGGTCGATGTAGACATGGAGGTGGGCAGCATAAACGTACAAACCTTGAGCCAAAAAATGAAAACCCAGCCCGATTTCATCCTAGGGTGGGGGCTGGGTGGTGGCATACGCATAAATAGGCAAGGTATCATCGAACTCTGCCATTGCCTGGCGTCGACGCTCAACCGTCAAGGAGACCAAGATGCTTGTCGATGTTGGTGTCCAGCAAGGAACTTAACTTGATGAGTGATGAGTTCTATACTCTTGATTGAAGTCTAATCTCAGTTGCTCTGGCAGCGACATGCTACTGTACGACCTCCGCTTATGAAACGTTTCACGCAGAACCAGCTACCCCAGGCCCAAAACGGAAATCTTCGCCTGTGACAAGTGGACGCGATGCATGGGGAGTAGGCTCGCTCGCCCCGCTGTAATGTGAATCGTCGCTACTTGTAGCTCTGTCCGTGCAAATCCCATTCAGCCCGCTAGCACGCCTCAGGAGCATTTTCCCTGTGCGAAATACGAGACTCAACATGAAGTCGGGGGAAAGGGGGGGGCTGATCTTTCCAACTGGAATCCTGACAACTCGTGCAGGCCTTCTTGGCGAAGCCTCGGGGGGGGCCTTGGTGCACAACATTTCCTCGATTCGTCTTAATGCAAGAACAAGCATCCTACCCGGACATGATGCCCGTCATAACCCTCAACTTTAAACAATAACATGAAGCCGGCCTGTGCGCAAGCCTGTGTGTCAAGTGGACACTTCTTAGATGCTTTCGCAAACCACACAAGGCATCCAACAACAGGACGATGCTTGCTTCAAGCCATCCCAATCGAACCATCGTGTCTATATCAACAGGTGCAATAAGCAGACGTCGGCAACTTTGTTGCGGAAAATACTCGGAAAATTCAACCAGGCTCCCAGCCGCCGTCCGCAGCAGAAGCCTTGCTTCAGACCAACTTCGTCTAGCCGAATACTCTCTCAGACTCTAAGAGTCGCATAAAACTTGGATTTGCACATCGCGCGTCCGATGAAGGAGCGCAATGTCCCATTTTAAGAGGAGCTTCACGGTCCGCAATTCTCCGGCCAGTGGACTTCTAGAATCCTTCGCGCTTCGGAGGCGAGCAGCTGACAGCTACGCCGCCAAGCTGAAGGATCCGTGCTGCACTCAGTTTCCGTCCACGCATGCAGGAAGCTGAGATTGCCACTCCAGGTTCGATGTCCTGCGGTCGGGCAAAGCGTGTCCATCATGTCCGCAGCATATGAAGCTCAGCTGGTCGAACGATGTCAATGAGTCAAGCGCGTAGGACGTACCTTCCTGTGTGCCCCGTGATGCACACTCCCCAGACCCGGAATTCTAGAACCACAAAGTGCCGATCAGCAGGTTCCCCCAGGGCAAAAGAACACCACCGGCAGACTGGTCCTGTGGTCGCTCCGAGTATTTCTCGCAAACCTGAGTGCAAACGACTGCTGGGGCCCCCAGGGGCCCCCAGGGCCCCAGCAGAACTTAGACTGAGACAAAACGACAAGGTCACTATGTTCCAGTGTCCATCGGAACTGAGGGCCACGCTTTCTGGTACAACGCGGCCTCCATGCCTTTGTACCTTGGCTCCAGAGTTGGGGCGCCAAGTGCTTTAGAAAAGGCTGCCGGCTGGCAAGACAAGTTTTGTATCACTGAGCTTACCTTTCGATGCTGAACTGAAGCTTTTTGAAGCTGAGATATATACTTCTCCAATAGCGACTCCACCTGGTCAGGCCATCATCATTGGAGTACTCCATTTTGGAATCTTGGCAAGGCTTCGCAGGCATGTTCAATCCGAGTAACTGAGCGCATGCTTTGTGGACATGACGTTGAAAGCTGAATGCGACGCCTCCTGTGATCCCCCAAACCTTCTCCAGAGAATGGAGGTATTCAGGTGTTAGCAGTGAGATGGCACTGTTTGTTGTTCAAGGGCAGTCGCTCCCTGAGTCTTGCATTGCAGGCGAGCGGGCTGAGGGCGGGAGAAACGTGGCTGGCTTCCCCAAACAGCGAATCTGAGTGTCAGTCAAGAGAATGTGTGGAGACAATTCCATGCCCATGCCCCACCACGGCCACAACCTCCCCCAGCTTGGCCGGGTTGTGCCGCTGGTAGACGGAACGGATGAGATCGCCGTACTTTGCATCGGCCTGGCTATTGACTGATCTCTCGAAGCAGGCAACCCGCTGCGATGGCTGCTTCACTGACCTCGTGCAAGCTTAGGAAGGAACGACGAAAAGGCATGAGCAATCTCATCTATCAACTCAAAATGTGAAAGCCCAATCGAAGCAGTGGACATCACTTCGCCTCAAAACTTGCAAGCCTTCTGTATCGACCTCGCCTGCTGGATGAGACAGGAGAATTTGTAACCAAACTCGACAATAATTGCGAAGGTGAGGAAGCCACGAAGGAAATGACTGGCACTTCGAGCCATTTATCCTTCAGGCGGACCTCATCAGGTTCATCTGCCTCTTTCGGAGGCACTTCCTGACAAGAAGCACAAGGCTTCGGCATCTTCCACGACTACGAATCAACAAACTGGTACCAAACACCCTTAAACACCCTCCTTAAGGGTTAGATTCCGCCAGGAACGTGCCCTCCCAGCTCCTGACCTGAAGACAAGACTGAAACGAAAACACTTTGAGACATCTGCCGTCATCTGCTCCTGCCGTCGGCTTAAAAGGCTTAAACTGCTGTGCCGTGCCGTGCAAGAAACCGTGCAGGCTTTTGCCACACGGAGGGTTCGGCACAGCAAGAGGAGGCCAAAGCTCCACTGGAGTAAAGCAACTGTCAAACTCCTGTTATTGAACTATTGAAGATTAGCTACCACTTGACAGAAACCCATTGACAACTCTTTCAAGCGCGGGATACTTCCCTGGAAACCGCGTCTGTTGTTTTCAAAGTCGCCAGCCTCTTCGGCAGCCGGAGCTGCTGTTTGCACCTTCCGTCGGCGGCGCCGCCGCGTCGGTGCCTGATGCTTGTGGCAGCCCGTGCAATCCTCTCAAGCCCACAAACCCCGACAAGCAGCGAAGAGACATGAAGAGAACGTTTCCGGGTCGTAGGCTGCGTGTTGGAACAGTTCAGGTCCTTCTATGGAGCCTAAATCATTGTCGCTGCCTTGACTTCCGAAGCAGGCAGAGAGGGGTGCGGACAAGGACCGAGAAGGAGCCGGGATAGAAAGCCGGACGGACCGGACCGCGCTGAGAGTGGAGAAGACTTTCGACACAGGGCAGATGGTGACGGAGCAACGAGCGGATGTGGCTGCAGCATGGTGGAGGGTAGGACGGAGCGAGAAGTCCAAATCAGAAGAGACATTGGTTCCTGCGCGAACCTTGCGTCACAGGCTGCTTATATCCAAGACCATCCCCTTTGGATAACGCTTTGTAGGAGAATTCGCAAGGTTTCTCACTCCCTTGCATATTCAAGCCCTCGAGATTTGTCAATCATGCTAGATTGTGTGGAAAAGGAGCATGGTCCGTTCAAAACGTCCAGTGTTCCCGTCGTGGATACGCTCACATTACACCTCTGTTACGCTTTCCATAAACTCCACCTCCAAGTCCCGAAGCGACTTTGGAAAGTTGCATGTCCCTATTGCCTGTGCAGCTCGTTCTGCTGGCACATCCTGCGGCCAAAATATCACAACTCTGGCATTGCATCATGACCTCCGTTCCCCTTCTCCCTTAACCGTGCTGTCATTTCGAGGACTGAATAGAATGGCATGTAGCGCTTTCCAAACTCTGGGGGTGTGACGCCACTTCGGCACAGGTCCTCCACGGAGGCCGGTGCCTTCGCCTTAGCATGCCCGGTTATCTCAAATCCCACCTGTGCTAGTGCTCTGCATACCCTGCATGGCTCCGATGTCTTCGGACTCAAGTTTCTGGTTCTTAGTGTGCAATCACCTGAGACGACGGCAGCGAGATCCTCTATTGTCGCCAGCAACATCTCCTGCCACACTCCCGGAGCTGCCACAGCTTTCGGACTAGAACATGGCTCAACGGACATAAGTCCAAGAGTTTCAGTGGCATGTCAACAGTGAGCATTCAGGCACTTAGGTGCGGTATGACGACTGATGCTTCAGAGTTGTGCGCAGCATCAACGAAACTTTGAAGAGGAGAGCTCGACGGACTGGGAAGCTGACAAGATGGAGATGCGATGTCCATGTCAGCTTGTGCAACTATAAAACGTTTCAACACTACCATCTTATGGAAAGCCTGTCACTGCGCAGCTCCTACCACTCGCAATCTGACAAGATGTGCCATGAGCATACCCTGTCCACTTATATTTGCCCAACAATGGTAAATTGTTTCTGCGAAATCGCAGCTCACCATGAACAATCCGAAGGGGGCCAGACGGGGGCGGGGGGGGGGCAAACAATTGCAAAAAGCGAGGGGGTCGAGGAGGCAGAGGCCGACAAGTCAGGTAAAAAGGGGGGGGGGGGGGGGAAAATGGACGCAAA